AGCCTTCCCCTATTTCCTCTAGTGGCTGTCCCATTGACAGCCGCTAGAGGCGCTTGCATGCTTCTCACTGTGATTTTCACAGTGAGAGCACGCCAGCGTCCATAGGAAAGCATTATGAATGCTTTCCTATGTGACTGGCTGAATGCGTGCACAGCTCTTGCCGCGCGTGCGCATACAGCCGACGGGGAGGAGAAGAGGAGGATCGGAGGAGGAGAGCTCTCCGCCCAGCGGTGGAAAAAGGTAGGTTTTACCCCTTTCCAGAGCCGGGCGGGAGGGGGTCCCTGAGAGTGGGGCACCCTCAGGGCACTATAGTGCCAGGAAAACGAGTATGTTTTCCTGGCACTATAGTGGTCCTTTAAAGGACCACTACAGACACCCAGATCACATCAGCTCAATGAAGTTGTCTGGGTGTCAGGTCCCTCTAGTTTTAACCCTGCAGCTGAAAACATAGCAGTTTCAGAGAAACTGCTATGTTTCACTGAGGGTTAATCCAGCCTCTAGTGGCTGTCTCACGGACAGCAGCTAGAGGAGCACACTGAACGTCCATAGGAAAGCATTGAGTAATGCTTTCCTATGGGCGGTTTGAATGCGTGCGCGGTCGCATTCGGAGCTGAGAGGCTGAGGGATCCTCGGCGCCAAGGGAGTCCGGCGCTGGAGAAAGGTAAGTGCTGAAGACACACACACACACACACTTACAGTCGCATACACACTAGCTAACAGACACACACATTTACTGACAGAGATACAGTCAGCGACAGACATACATACACACTCACTTACAAAACATACACTCTCATTGACAAACACACACTCACTAACAGACATCAAACAGACTCACTAACACACACACACTTAGTAAGACACACACAGTAACACACTCACTGACACTCACTAGCAGACACACACACTAACACACTAACACTCACTAGCAGACACACTAACACTCACTCTAACACTCACACTAACACTCACTCTAACACTCACAACACTCACTCTAACACTCACACTAACACTCACACTAACACTCACTCTAACACTCACACTCACTCTAACACTCACACTAACACTCACACTAACACTTACACTCACACTAACACTCACACTAACACACACACACTAACACATGATTTTTTTTTTTTAATGTAATCCCCCCAGCCTCCTTACCTTTTGGAGTGCTGGGGGGGATTATTCCCTGGGTCCAGTGGGGCTCCTGGGCGGGTGGCCGGTCAGGGCAGGCGGGCGCGCGAGGGAGCACTCAGTGCTTCCTCTTCAGCTCCCTCGCGCGCCGCGTAGGGATGCCGGCGCCGGAAGATGACGTCATCTTCCGGCTCCGGTATCATTGCGGTGCGCGAGGGAGCTGAAGAGGAAGCACTGAGTGCTCCCTCGCGCGCCCGCCTGCCCGACCGGCCACCCGGGGTCAGCAGGGCCAGCCTCAGGGGGGCCCTGGGGTGGTCGGCTCCTGGGCCCCCCAGGGGAAGAGGCTGGCCCTGGGCGTACATACCGGGTCGCAGGGGCGGCCGGGCCCCCTGGTGGGCCGGGCCCGGTCGCAGTCGCGACCCCTGCGACCCTGGTATGTACGCCAGTGTGTGGGATCATTATGAACGAATAGATCTCTGAGATTACAATTTCTTTTGTAGCTAATCATGAGACATTGTTGAAAAATCGAAGGAAGGCTGTTATCAGCCTGTATCATATCCCAGTGTTTTTGTATAGTGTTCTTTATTTTCACTGTCCCTGTGTGGTAAGTCATGGGGAGAAATAGATGTGTCTTCTTGGCTTTGGCAGCACCTTCCGAGTGTGATGAATAAAAACATTCTCTAGCCCTCTGTTCAGCGATATCCAGTGTATGAGGGGCATAACCCTTATCTAGAAATCGTTGCTTTGTTTCTTGAAGTTGAATATTCATCTGTAAAGTGTCACTATTATAGCGTAGAACTCTGAGGAACTGTGAAATTGGAAGGGAATCCTTCAGGTGCTGGGGGTGAAAGCTGTCAGTTGATAAAGTGGTATTTCTATCTGTTTCTTTTTGATATAAGTTATATACAATGCTTCCTGCCATTCTGTATAGTAAGACATCTAAGAATTCAATTTGATTGCAATTATAATTTAGAGTAAATTTTATTGAAGTAGGCAATATATTAAGTTGCTGGACCATCTCTTCTAGTTCTTCTTGTGATGTAGTCCATAGGAGAAGGATATCATGCACAAACCTGAAATACTTCAGTATTTTACTGTCATATGTGGAAAAAATGTACTGTTGCTCAAACCATGACATGAAGATGTTTGCATATGAGGGAGCCATAGCCGCCCCATAGCAGTTCCAGATGTTTGTAAATAAAAATTTCCTTCAAACTTAAAATAATTGCAAGAAAGTGCAATCGTTAATAATTGCAAAATAAACTCAATAGGGGGACCTTTATACACATGTGACTTTAAGAGAATTTCTCGGACCGCTTGTATGCCTTCTTTCTGTGGAATAGCTGTATATAAGTTTTGAACGTCCAGGGTGGCAAAAATGAACACACACTGTGTGTCAGTCCCAAGCTCTCTAAGTTGATGAAGAAGGTCTTGACTATCTTTAAGGCAAAACTGCAACTCTTTTACAAAATCCTGTAAATAATAATCCACATATTTGGCAATTGGCTCCAAGAGACCGCCCCTGGCGGAAACTATTGGTCTACCTGGAGGGATTTGCCTAGATTTGTGGATTTTCGGTAACTCTAGGTGTATCGGATAAGTAACATACAGATACTTAGCTGTATTAGAATCCACATACCCAGCTTGAAGGCCAATATCAATCAGCTGGTTTATCTTTTTTTGCAATGTGTGGCTTGGGTCATATGTACGTTTCCGATATGTGTATGTGAATGTTTTTATTCATCACACTCGGAAGGTGCTGCCAAAGCCAAGAAGACACATCTATTTCTCCCCATGACTTACCACACAGGGACAGTGAAAATAAAGAACACTATACAAAAACACTGGGATATGATACAGGCTGATAACAGCCTTCCTTCGATTTTTCAACAATGTCTCATGTTTAGTTACAAAAGAAATCGTAATCTCAGAGATCTATTAGTTTGTAGTGATCCCACACAATGCTATAAGAAAAAAACATGGATTAAAAAGAAGGGATGCTTTAAGTGCACCAGATAAGTGACTTGTAGCCACATGCTGTCCAGCAGTTCATTTGCTCACCCCCACACTGGAAAACACATACCGATTACTCATTATATCACATGTACCACAGACCACGTCATCTATATGGTGACATGTCCCTGTGGATTGGCATATGTCGGGAAGACAAACCTTACTATACGCAATATGATTAGAGGTCACCGTTCTGGGATAATGACTGCATATCGTGATCAAGCAACGGAAAAACCAGTGGCCAAACATTCTTTGGCTATGCAACACCATTTACCTACGCTTAAATTTATTGGTATTGATCATGTTCCTCCTTTGGATCGAGGGGGAGACAGATCTAAAATTCTCTTACAAAGAGAGGCTTACTGGATCCATTATTTGGATACTGTAGCTTCTAAAGGCTTAAATGAAAACATTGTGTATTCCTTGTTTCTGTAAATATATTGTGTTGTATAGTTTGTTACATGGAGCTATAATTATTTTTGGATCATCATATCTAATGTACTATGTGTTATCTATTTTCTCCTATATTATGCGGCCCTTTGTATACATCTAGAATACAGTTTTAGGCTATTAGCATATGCTATCAATATGCGGCTGTGCCTTTAACATATAATTTTTCTATATTATTTTGCCACTAATCTGGCTTTTTGTTTTGTCCTTCATTTTAGAGTACCCTTTCTTTTGCACCATAGCATTTAACATACATTGGATGTATGTAGCTATCATATGCTACAGTTGAATAGTGGTCTCTTTTCCGTGGCAATATAGGTGTGTTGTCACATATCGATTTTGTCCAATATATTATTGGTTTCATTATTTAATTGTCGTGATCAGCATTTATTAATTCATAACATTATTATGTCTTGTCTATGATTGATTTTTGTAACTTGTAAATTGATTATTGTTACTTTATCTAGCATTTCGTATTATTTTTCTGTATCCTTGCTATGTTTTTAGTAATATTTCCTTTTTTAGTATTATTTCCTTTTATATATATGCTTTATGCACTCTTGAGTAGACTTCACATTTTTTTGTTTACTTAGTCGCCATACACGAGCTTTACGGTTCAATTATTTCACTTTGCATGAGTTGCACTTTTTTACATTCATGGGTTTTCTGTCTACTCCTATTTATTTTGCACTTTACTAGGGCATTATTTGCCATTATTATTCTTTTGCATACTACATAGATAATTTTCCTCCAGAGCGGTCTTCTTACACCCGATAGGTACCTTGTTCACAGTTTTGTATACTGTCACTATGGCAACCACATTACCCCGCCATGCGTCCAGATCACATGACGTGACCAGCGGCTTCCATTCACTTCCGGGTGGTAACGGGCATAGACACTTCACTTCACCTTACTGATTGGTAAGTGTTACTCTTTATATTTTGTATATAAGCACATTTATGACTTGTATTCAGTGATCTTGAAAAAGACCCGGCAGGGTCGAAAAGTCGGTCGATTTTTTGTATACACTTTATGGATTAATAAAGCACCATTTTTTCATCTTTATGAAGACCTGTGAGTGCATCCCGTTTTTCTGATTTTCCTATATATTTGACGCCAGTGGATACAGTACCCAGGCAAGATACCTTTATTTCAATTGTAAGGAGAGTGCCAAGTGTTCACTTTTTCATTATATATATATATATATATACATATGTATGTGTGTGTATGTATGTATGTGTGTGTATATATAGTGTGTTTGTGTGTATATAAAAACATGGCAACATTTCATTATTTGTGTGTTATTAGTTTAAGCAGACTGTGATTGTCTGTTGTGACTTAGATGATGATCAGATCACATTTTATGACCAATTTGTGCAGAAATCCATATCATTTCAAAGGGTTCACATACTTTTTCTTGCAATTGTCTATATATATGTATATATATATGTGTGTGTCTGTGTGTGTGTGTGTGTGTGTATGTATATATATATATATATATATATATATATAGACAGTTGCAAGAAAAAGTATGTGAACCCTTTGAAATGATATGGATTTCTGCACAAACTCGTCATAAAATGTGATCTGATTATCATCTAAGTCACAACAACAGACAATCACAGTTTGCTTAAACTAATAACACACAAAGAATGAAATGTTGCCATGTTTTTATTGAACACACCATGTAAACATTCACAGTGCAGGTAGAAAAAGTATATGAACCCTTGGATTTAATAACTGGTTGAACCTCCTTTGGCAGCAATAACTTCAACCAAACGTTTCCCGTAGTTGCAGATCAGATGTGCACAACGTTCAGGAGTAATTCTTGACCATTCCTCTTTACAGAACTGTTTCAGTTCAGCAATATTCTTGGGATGTCTGGTGTGAATCGCTTTCTTGAGGTCATGCCACAGCATCTCAATCGGGTTGAGGTCAGGACTCTGACTGGGCCACTTCAGAAGCTGTATTTTCTTCTGTTTAAGCCATTCTGTTGTTGATTTACTTCTATGCTTTGGGTCATTGTCCTGTTGCAACACCCATCTTCTGTTGAGCTTCAGCTGGTAGACAGATGGCTTTAAGTTCTCCTGCAAAATGTCTTGATAAATTTGGGAATTCATTTTTCCTTCGATGATAGCAATCCGTCCAGGCCCTGATGCCGCAAAGCAGCCCCAAACCATGATGCCCCCACCACCATATTTCTCAGTTGGGATGAGGTTTTGATGTTGGTGTGCTGTGCCTTTTTTTCTGCCACATGTAGTGTTGTGTGTTTCTTCCAAACAACTCAACTTTGGTTTCATCTGTCCACAGAATATTTTGCCAGTACTGCTGTGGAACATCCAGGTGCTCTTGTGCAAACTGTAAACGTGCAGCAATGTTTTGTTTGGACAGCAGTGGCTTCCTCTGTGGTATCCTCCCATTAAATCCATTCTTGTTTAGTGTTTTACGTATTGTAGATTCGCTAACAGGGATGTTAGCATTTGCCAGTGACTTTTGTAAGTCTTTAGCTGACACTCTAGGATTCTTCTTCACATCATTGAGCAGTCTGCGCTGTGCTCTTGCAGTCCTCTTTACAGGACGGCCACTCCTAGGGAGAGTAGCAGCAGTGCTGAACTTTCTCCATTGATAGAAAATTTGTCTTACCGTGGACTGATGAACAGCAAGGCTTTTGGAGATACTTTTATAACCCTTTCCAGCTTTATGCAAGTCAACAATTCTTAATCGTAAGTCTTCTGTTAGCTCTTTTGTGCGAGGCATCATTCACATCAGGCAATGCTTCTTCCGTGGGTATATTCCATGGGTGGCCGCCATTTCGGCAGCCGAACACGTGGCGGCAGCCATCTTAAACCCGCGAACAGCGGTGTTTGGTCGTCGAGTGTCTGGAACTCAAAACGGACACTCGACTAACTGAACACCGCTAAGACCTCCAAGGCTGCAGAAAGTACCAAGGGAAACGCACGAACGGCCCGTCGTTCGGTAGGATGAATCCCATGAACTAGGGGATTCATCCGGTTAGCAACTTCACTATGGATGGTATAGCCTTTTGGGACTTTTGAGGCACGAACGGAGACCGACCGCAGGGCCAAATCTCATGGAACTATTTTCGGCTACGTTACCCATGCGGTCGGTCAAATCTTTACCTTCCCATAACTCCCGAACACCTGGTCTGATCTGGGTGATTTTTGGATATGTTCCTCACCCAGATCAGGGCTACCAGGGGGTACCATATTTAAAGGTGTATCTCACATATTTAAGGTACATCTAAGAAGTGGGGAAAAGAATGTACTGTATAATTGTGTTAACTGTTAATCTAAGGGGAGGAGATGTGTGGGAGGTAACGTCTATGGGATTGGTTACTGTACTAATTGTGGTGAATCCCTCCCTCGCATGGGAGAATCTCATAAAAGCAGGAATGTTGCCATTAAAGATCAGTTCTACTCCTGATACTGTGTGTCGTCCAGTGATTGGGAAGGGTGATGGGATACTTTTGGATTTTATTGCTGATTGTGCTGGATACTCTCTTGGATTTATTACTTGTTCCTGCATTCTTTTAATATACGAGTGGAGTTAAGCTGTGGGAAATCAGCTCTCTGCTACAATATACACAGACACAAACTCTGCATTATAAACACACACACACTCTGCATTATATACACACACACACTCATACAAACACACACTCTGCATTATATAAACACACACATACTGTGTATATAATGCAGAGTGTATGTGTGTGTTTGTGTAGTGTGTGTGAACTGGGTGAGGGGAGGGCATTTTTATTATTTTAAATTTATTTTTAATTTTAATATTGTCATTTAAAAAAAAATATTTTAATATTCTAATTTTTTTATTATTTTAATATTTAATATTTTTTTGTCCCCCCTCCCTGCCTGTTGCCTGGCCAGGGAGGGGGGCTGTAACATTCTCTGGTGGTCCAGTGGATGGGCTGTGCGGGGGGGGGCCAGAGCAAGCTGTTACTTACCTTTGTAGCAGCTCCGGTCAGCTCCCTGTCAGCTCCGTGTAGCTCCCCAGTTCAGCTCCTAGTGTAAGTCTTGCGGTCTGCGTGCCGCGGGTGTCGCAAGACTTACACTGGGAGCTTAACTGGGGAGCTGCTCGGAGCTGACCGGAGCTGCTACAAAGGTAACAGCTCGAGGCCAGCCCCCAACAGGACCGCCGGGCTTGTAATGAGCCCGGCGGTCCTGGTCTGTATTATGGCAATGTAAGTTGCCATAATACAGACCTTGACTCGAGTATAAGCGGAGTGGGACTTTTTCAGCACAAAAAATGTGCCGAAAAACTCGGCTTATACTCGAGTATATACGGTATATGTGTGTGTGTGTGTGTGTATATATATATATACACACACACACTATACACCCTGTTCCAAATTATTTTGCAAATTCTATGTAAGTGTCACAAAGATTAAATATTTTGTTTTTCAGTTTAACTCATGGATGGCATTGTGTCTCAGGGCTCTTTTGATCACTGAAAACAATCTCGGACACCTGTGATAATTAGATTGCCAGGTGAGCCCAATTTAAGGAAAAACTACTAAAGGAGGGTGTTCCACATTATTAAGCAGCGCACCATTGTTATGCAATATGGGGAAGAAAAAGGATCTCTCTGCTGCCGAAAAGAGTGAAATAGTTCAATGCCTTGGACGAGGTATGACGTTGTGGTAGGCTTATGTACTATATGATTATGCAATGTAACTAAACCCCCGTTACTTTTCATTATTTTTTGCCTAGGTGAGGTGTTTTTAAATAAAACTATTGCAATCTGTGAGATTTAAAATCATTTGTCTAGTGAATAATTGAGTGTGCTGGATTGTGTATTTTGTATGTTGTGTGTGTGTGTGTATGTATATGTGTGTGTGTGTGTATATATATATATATATATATATATTTGAACTATATACACACGCACACACACTATATATAGTGTGTATATATACCTACACACACACACACACACACCATACAAAATACACAATCCAGCACACTCGATTATTCACTAGACAATGATTTCAAATCTCACAGATTGCCAGCAGTATTATGGGTTAGCTACTGACCGACAGGAGGACAGGTACCTTGTTAGTCTTGGTGGGAAAGGGAGAGATGTGGCGAAACTATCCTCCCCACTGGGTTATGGAGAAGCCTGATTGCCATCCTCCTGCCTCATGACCATGGACGCTCTCATCAGCCCATGCTAGACTTAAACCCCATGGCGATTTGACTGTGTTTGTGGGATCTGAGCGCTGTTTGGATATATTGAGCGCTCAGATCAAGTGATCTTGAGATATGTTGAATGTGGGGGTTCTGTTAAGTATGATAGGAATTATGTATTTTTGTGTAATTTTGCTGTTGTTGTGAATAGAGACATTTTCTGTACCTGGAGATAGTTGGCTTACCACACCCAGTTAAGCCAATTATCTCCAGGATAGAGGACTCTGTGGAACTGGTTTTGGCTGGAAAGCCATGCTTCAGTGGTCACAAAGGACTTCGACCTAACTTTTAAACCAATGGAAGGAATTGTCTGATTTTTGAGTATGTTTGGTTTTGGAGTATGCTGATTCTGAAAATGTAATGTTTTATGTGAATGTGATGTATACTTTTAAAGTTATGAATATTGTGTAAAACTGTGTTTTTTCCTGCCCATTGTGCCCATTGTGTTCAGTAATTGTATCACAGGCAGAAGGGAGGATTTCTGCTGGTATGATTGGGAGTGTTTAGCTGTGTTGTAATGTATTGATTGGTTTGTTCTTCAAAACCCTGTGGGCAGTACTATGTTTGTAAAATGGGCATAAAAGAGTGTTTGATTAAAAGCTTCAGTTCTACTTCACCCTCAATCTGAGTCCTGTCTCTTATTTGGGAACCTGCTACAAGGGATTGCTATGCTCTGCATATTCCCTTGCTGTAATCACTCCTAAGCTCTTGTAAGAGCTTGTTCCTGCTTCACTCTGAAGGAAGAGAGGTTTGGCTTGCAGTGGTTGTGGTGTCGGCTAGAGTGCTTGGAGTCCCCAAGAAGCACTAGGAGCATCCTTCAACGGAGGTGCCCAGTCAGGGTGCCAGGTGATCCGTTACAGCCAGTTTAACTCTTTTAACATGTCACAATTGTGGTCAAGTAAGTAGTAGTAGTACATTCTAGTACAATGTGGCAGAATGAATTATACAATGTATTGAGTTTATGAAGGTGGGTTTACGGCGCAGGTGCATACAGTACATCCCCATAATCAATGACCGGCATTAGCGTTTGTTGCACTGTTTCCTTTCTTAGTTTGTAACCAAGTGTCTACTGAAAAAGACTGAACATACCCCATTTTGAATACTTTGGGTTGTCTGCTTTTACAAATGGTATGCCATGATGTGGGTATATCATAGGCCCAGCAAACCAATCTGGCAAATTGAAATTGAGAAGCCCTATATTGACCCTGTCTGAAAGTCTGAACATGAGAGGTACTGTTGTGCTTGTGAGACATTGCTGAACACAAATATGAGTGTTTTACAGCAGCAAAATGCATAATGTTGATGATATCATCCG